CTGCATTTCATCTTTATTCTCATACAGCCAATGCATTTCATCTTTATTCTCATACAGCCAATGCATTTCATCTTTATTCTCATACAGCCAATGCATATCATCTATATTCTCATACAGCCAATGCATTTCATCTTTATTCTCATACAGCCAATGCATTTCATCTATATTCGGATATACCCAATGCATTCTTTCATTATTCTTATACAGCCAATGCATTTCATCTATATTCGGATATAGCCAATGCATTCTTTCATTATTCTCACACAGCCAGTGCATTCCTTCATTATTCTCATACAGCCAATGAATTTCATCTTTATTCTCATACAGCCAATGAATTTCATCCTTATTCTCATACAGCCAATGAATTTCATCTTTATTCTCGTCCAGCCAATGCATTTCATCCTTATTCTCATACAGCCAATGCATTTCATCTTTATTCTCATACAGCCAATGCATTTCATCTTTATTCTCATACAGCCAATGCATTTCATCTTTATTCTCATACATCCAATGCATTACATCAGTGCAGAGGAACCAATTGCATGTACAGTAAACTAAATATCAATATATACACTGATGATAGAGGCACACTGAAACAAATAACATCTAATGTAACAAAGCTTAAGCAAGGAGGACAAACACAATCATTATACATTTGATATATATACAAAGTTTTTCAGAATTGCTTAATGGTTACATGACATCAGTTCCTAAAACTGTTAGTGAGGTAAATTTCGTTCTTGGGTTCATGCATTCCAATATATATGAAGTCCTCAATGTTCTTCAACTTCGTACTTTATTTGGCCATTTAAACTTTTTTATTCAAATGTCACTGATGAGTTTATTGTAAACTGAACACTCGTCTGACATACACAATTTTAAGCCTGGTATCTAATAAGGTTGAACATTGTGATATTAAAGAAAACATAATTTTAAAGCTTTATACTCTAACGTAGAATGTAGAGTGCGTATAAATGGTTATATGACTGAATCGTTTATTGAGATTTTGAGTTAAGCAGAAGTTGTGTTTATCATCTATAATGTTTAATATATATATATATATGTTAATAATTTGATTGATGGTATTGATGCTTTGAGTATTGGTAATAGCATAGACGAAGAAAAAATAGCTACTAGTATATTTTTTTATGCTGATGATGTTATTTTTATGGCTGAGAATGAAGAAGATTTACAAAAAATGCTGGATGTGCTTAGTACATGGTGTCTCAATAATTAGCTGATAGTTAATATCAATAGATCATGCATTTTAGAAATCCATCTGTTGCACAAACTAATTTTGATTTTTCTATTAGTGGTAAAGTTATAGAGTATGTGAAAAATTATCAATATTTTGGCTTACTGTTGACCAAATATTTAGATCATCGGTTAATGGCTAAAGCAGTAGCAAAATCAGCTAGTAGAGCATTTGGATAAAGAGTAGAACGCATGGAGTTTTCCAGCACAATTGTTTTCTTCAAAACTGTACTATACTATAGTATGGTCTGTTATTAGTTATGATGCATGTATTTTGGGAACCAGGGACTTATTCTGCATAAAAACAGACAAAAGCAGGACAATGAAATTTATTTTTCATGTTGCTAAATACACGCCAAAGGATGCCATAGCTGGTGATATGGACTGGAACCTACCATGCGTTAAACAATGGACAAATGTCTTAAGACATTAAGCAAGGAGTTCCATAATGGACCGACATAAAATAACTTTTTTTTCATTTTTAAATGGTCCATATGAAGTGTAATACTAGAATTAAGAATTGGAACTTTAAAGTTCAAGAGAAGTTATAAATATATAATTATCAGCAACACTGTGATTTGAGATAAATATATTAAACAAAAATAGTAGTAAAACAATTAAGGAACATGTATTTTAAAATAAGTTTAAGGCAGATTGGTGTGAAAGAGTTGCTGCTTATGTAGAGGGAAGTCAATTGGGTACTTATACGTTGTTTAAAAATGATTATTGTACTGAAATGTATTTGAAAAATATTCTGTCAATTAAACACAGAAGTGGTCTTGCCCGCTTTGGATGTGGGGTAGCTCCATTTAAAATAAAATACTGGAAGGTATGAAAGAAAAGAGGTTCATGAAAGGGCATGTTTTAACTGTAATTCTAATATCGAAGATGAAGTTCATGTCATTTTATAATGCCCACTATATGAAGATTTAAGACAAATCATGATACTTGAAGCTATACGTTTTGATGAACGTTAAAATTACTATCAGATAGTTAAACAATTTTTTTTATTTAATAATGAAAATGTTGCTACTCTAGTTGCCAAAACCTGCAACAACATGTCGTTGAGGAGAAACACTATAATAAATATTTCACAAGTTTTAAAAGAAACAAAATGTTTTACGTATCTAAAATTAACACTCAGTCTGCAAATTTTATATGTAAATGTGTAAAAAGGTATATATATATATATATTGTGTCTTAAACGTCTCTCATAAGATTGGTGCATACATTGCAAATGTTTTAATGTTTTATATCCTGTGAATCCTATTATATGTTTGTATGTGGTGAGACCCTAATACAATATTGAATCTCAATCTCATTCAATCGATGATTGAATATTTGGTAAGAGAAATAATGCCTTAAAATGTTGATTACCTTAATTTCGAATTTGTCTATAGTAAAATAACAAGTAGTTATCAATCAAATGCATTAAAATCAGTTATTTACTTTACAGCATTTTGAAATCTCGATAAAAAAAAAATACCACGGTATTTGAAAATGAATACACGTTTTGTTTTACAGAAAACTGCAAATATTAAAATGTAAACTGTAGGAGGATTTGATTACACAAATCTTGTACCCTCTTCATAAATTTTACAGAAAAAATACTAAGTTCCCAAGTCTGCAAAAATGAGAAACAATTCCTCAAACAATTCCATAATAGCAGGTGCATAACTTCAATATATGTGTAATCTTCCTGTGAAGCTTCAGGGATCTTGGTTGAGCAATGTACGACCCACCTGCCCACCAATGCATCCGCCCTACATCACTATACTACAAGCCGGTTTCGAACTTCGTCAATTAACGGCTATGGTTTTCTTACCCTGTTGGTTTGTGAAACTATACGATTTTTTTTTTTACTAAATTAATATTTAAACTCTAATATAATTTTAAATGGTGAAACTGTATTAAGACTTTTATAACAAGACGGGAGTGGGAAATTATCCCATGGGTAACTTCTTTTTGGACGATATATAAAAACATTTCGTTTCCAACGTTAATCACAAGCATTATTTCAAGGTAAGGAGAATATACGTTTGTATAGTTTTTATATGATTTTAAACGCAATATTAAATTTTTAGGTGTTGAAATTAATTTTTAAAATAAAATAATAGAAGCGTTATACGCATAGATGAATGCATATATATACAATTTCCGAATTTCTTAACTCGCAACTCGACTTTTTAAAATTTACAACCTTTTAACTTGAAACTCGACTTTTGTAACTCGCAACTCGACTTTTGTAACTCTCAACTCGACTTTGTTAACTCGCAACTCGACTTTTATATCTCGCAACTCTACTTTCTTAACTCGTAACTCGATACTCTACAAGTAAATCTCAATATTAACCATCTGATTTAAACCCTAAGATTATTGAATTTAACCTGTGTGTATTATTGCTTTTATTACATAATTTACATAAATGAACGTCAAAGTATCCCATGTGTAACTTCTTTTCTTAGACGATATATAAATGCATTTCGTATCAAACTTTTGTCAAATGTTGTTTAACTTCAAGGTAAGGCGAATGAATATACTTCTTAATAGATTTTGAATGTAGAACTTGCAATATTTTTCGAATATGAATTATATTTTAAACAAAGGATGTATACAAACACATATAGATACTTATAGAGTCTCAACAATTATCGCAACGTAGAAACTATAGTTTCCAGAAATATAATCTCTAGCAAATCTACTATGCCGACACACAGAAGTAAAGAAACAATGATCATAAATAAGATGAGAATTTGAATGTTTGTGACCACGAGAGAGGGGATTACGACCTTTAGCCCTTTACCCAAATAACAATTAGATCTTCCAATCGTCTATCTTAAAATTTAATCTGTGAACAAAATATTTAAGTTTCCTTTGCTACAGTTAAACAATTGGGTGTGGTGAAAAAAGGGGTGGGGGGGCAATATAAACCCCGCAGTATACTTTTACATTTAAATGATACATATGTTTGTAAAATTGTTGGAAAATCTTTAAAGTAAATTACACAAACTTTTTACTATTTAATTCAACCTAGTTTCATCAACTTCCCAATTTAGGAAACTCTTGAGTGAAATAGATATATATGGATGCATTTCTTACTTCTTTTTTAAAAATATGCAGCACAAATTGCGATTATCCAAAGACGTACCACCAGAAAGTGTAGTTGGAATTGAAGATTTATTACCACAGAAAAAATATCTAGTATTTTTACAGGTTTTGCTGTTGACTAATTTTACCAAAACTACGTTTTTCCTTAATGTACGTTTACCCGTTACTGTTGACCTTTCAACAACCTTGGAAAAAATCAAATAACACAATGATAAATCAAATATTTAAATCTGTTTTATAACATTTATTGTTTAGGGGTTCCACTAAAATTGTAAAATACCAATTATCAATTCATTCACTCAATCTTACATAAACTAAGAATTTCATCAATAGTCAAGTATGTTATATTTTTCATCAAAATTCACATCAAATTCTATTGAATTTGTAAGTTTCATTTATTTTGAGTATTTTAGTCTTACCCTTCCTTGCTAAAATGAGCGTGCTGTTGGAACTTTTTTGAATTTCTTTTTAACAAACTTTATGTTAAATAGCGTTTGACAGATTTACTTCTTTCTGTGGATCATTAATTTTAAGTACCTAAGATATATTTTGTTCTTTTTTTAAGGAATTCGATTCATTCACGCATTTAATTCAAGTTTAAATTACATCACTTTTCAGTTGTTGCTATATTTAAAATATTGATCTTTATACTGCCGGAAGTGTATTCTTTATCTCAAGATTAAATTGTAAACCACATTGGTTCGCAACTCTTGATAATAAAAACGAACCATATATTTATTTTAGGAGCACAGGCACACAAACCTGATGAAAATGGAGCCATAACTTAGAAAATAGTAAGTTCTCTTTATATTTCCTCGTGTCAAACTTTACCAACAGTTCTCCAAGGTATGTTGTCTTTATACTGAGTTTACATTCCATTCTCACTAATATAAATATCAAATTTTTCAGTCGGTTAGTGTGGATAGTATACTTTGTATTAATTCTACTCAAACTGGGTTTTACATCTATGATGTTTTATAAAGTAAATATAATTACAAACATTTCTAATCTACTTTTTGCAATTAAATTACAAGTCAAAATATATGTCTACCCATTATCCTTTCTTTCTATTTGAATACTGAATCTAAATATGTTCTCTTGATACCGCGTAAACAGTGCAATATTTATGAAGGCGCTATTCAGACATACTTACATAGATATATACATTACAATTTTATAAACATACATCTTGTCTATTCATAAGTATATATGACTGACCAATATGGACTTCATGCACTTTCACCATTCTAAAGATTGCTTCATATAGATAACGACAGTGGACAAAATATCTTTATCTGAATTGAAGATAATTTTTAACTTTGAGAATGTGTTAATCTGCTTAAAGTTAGGATGATAAATTTCAATATAATCAATCGATATTACTTCTAATACTATTACTGCTACATTACTTTTTATGTTATTACTGTTACGACAATGAAGAAAAAAGTGCACTTCATCATCATCACAAACTTTACACGGTCTTATTTCTTCATTAATAGATAATAAGTGTTTTTTGGTCCTATATAGAAGTTGGTTTTAGTGGCAAATCTTTGATAATCTCTGTTTTCCCCCACATTTCTAGACTGGGTCGATCAAGAGGTTGACATTATACCCACTTGTCTTTTATTGACGACCTATGTTGACATCTAGTGTCATTATTTTTTATAGGCTTTTTAATAATTAGGTTTAAATTTCATCGACTTATACCCACCATATCCTTTTAACTATGTTGTCAAAGATTTAATATGAAGATGACCATATCATTTTTGGACGCAACTCCTCCTACGTGCTTACATGCTTCATCAGATGTTCATGAAACTTTGTTCATTGTAAGATCCTAACATGAAGAATTTTCCGCTTTACCATTATACATCTATGGTACTATCCAGTGTGAACTTTGTTGCAACAACTTTAGGGTTTATCCGATGCTCATTAAACTTTATTCATTGTAAGATTCTTATATGAAGATGTGTATATAAGTAGAATATCCTTGTCGGTAACACTTCTAAGAGTTATGTCCCAGTTTGAATTGATTTTTTGATACGAAAAGTGGAAACGAGGATGGGTGCCTTGTTTTGAGACAGTTATTATTATTATTTGGAATTTGTGAATGAAACAAGTTTCGTTAAAACTTTTGTATTTTATCAACGAAACGGATATCAATAAAATTTGGATAATACCTATTCACAGAGAGAATTATTTACATTCTTTAACTTACATATACATTTTCATAGTAAATTTCCATGGTTGGTTTGTCGGATTTCGGTTACCTTATATGGTTAAGTTATGTAATCAGTGAAAAAAGAGAAGAATAATTTGTTATTTCTCTATTTTTAGGTAATAATTCAGCCTGGTTTCCAATTTTGATTATCATGATTATCAACGGCGGAGAAATGTCGTCTGACGTTGTACAGCTTTCCAGATCTCTTAAAACACAGTCTGAGTTGTATGATTTTTATGGCAAACCAAAGCGTTCATCTAGGTCATTTTCAGAAAACATTAAGAACAAATGCTCCCTTTCTAAATTATGTGCGTTTCTATTAGCACTATTCCCAGTAATAAACGTTATAAGAACATATAAGGTTCGGAATTACATCTTAGATGATATAATAAGTGGTTTATCTGTGGCATGCCTTCATTTTCCTCAAGGACTTGCGTTCGGAATATTAGCATCATTATCGCCGGCATATGGGTTGTATACATCATTTTTTCCTGTGCTTCTGTATGTTATTTTCGGAACATCTCAACATGTTTCTTTCGGAACAAATGCTGTGATTGCAATTTTCACAGCAGAACTGGTAGAATCACAGTTAGAACAGTTTGATTTGCATGGTCATCACCAAGCCGTTAACGGTTCCATGGTTAATAACATAACAACAGTTTCACCGAGAATGGACAATGCAGTGTTAGATTACAAAGTGTCTGTAGCAGCAGGTTCGTCATTTATCGTTGGATTGTTGTTGCTAATCATGGGATTGTGTCGAATGGGTTTCATTACATCTTATTTGTCATCTTCTTTCATTGCAGCTTTTACCACAACCGGTGCTATTCACATCATTTCCAGCCAAGTCCCTAATGCACTTGGCATAACAATCCAACCTGTCAACAAACCAGGAAAGCTGATATATGTATATATTGAAATATTCAAAGCATTTCCAAAGATTCATGTTGCTACATTATTGGTCTCTATCATATGCTTGATAATACTTGTTTTGGTAAAAGATGTTATTAATGAGAGATTCAAAAACAAAATGAAAATGCCAATACCAATCGATATCATTTTAGTTGTCATAGCAACAATTATTTCGTACTTTGCAAAGTTACATGACACCTTCGATGTAGGTGTAGTAGGAGAAATACCTGCTGGACTACCAACGCCGCAACTACCTCGAGTGTCTGTAGATATAATAGGACATAGTATTGTTGTCGGTTTAATCGTGTTTGTGCTCACGATTTCGATGGCCCGACTTTGTGAAGTGAAGCACGGATATTCAGTTAACGACAATCAAGAACTGGTTGCATACGGCATTGCTAATTTAGGTGGGTCTTTTTTCTCCTGCTTTCCAGCTTGCGTTGCACCACCTCGTACAGTCGTTTTAAGTACAATGGGCGCAAAGACAACATTGAATGGAATAGTATCAGCTATTTTTGTCTTGCTTGTAATAATGTTCATAGGAAAATACTTGGAATCAGCTCCTAAAGCTGTTCTTGCAGTAATGATCATAGTAGCTGTTAAAAATCTATTATACCAGTTCAAGGAACTACCGAAACTTTGGCGGGTAAACCGTTATGATTTTGTTATATTTGTTGGAACGGTATTGTGCGGTGTTCTTATTGATTTTCCTTACGCTTTGTATGTAGGAGTGCTACTTTGTCTTTTAACAGTTGTCGTGCAAAGTCAGAATTCATCTTCGTATACCATTAGAAAGGTTGAACAAGAAGATCGTCTTCTGGAGCAAAAGAATCATGATGTTCCATTATGTAATTCGACAATTGCGATATTCCGAATGGAATCATCTCTTTACTTTGCAACAGCTGATCAATTCATAAAGGAATTATACAAAGCAACATTTAATCCGAAAGCCTATCGAAAACTACAAGACAAAAAATTAAATACTAATGCTGAAATTAACATAAATCAAAGTGAAAATAGCGGGAACAATGATGAAAGGATGTCGCTGTCCAAGACAAATCATGAAAACGAAATACCCGTGGTACCTCTTACGCACATTATTATCGACTGTTCGTCTATGAATTATATTGACATGAATGGTATGAAGGCTTTAATACAGATCAACTCCGAATACAAACAAGTTGGTGTTAACGTCATGTTTGGAAATTGTACTAATTTCATGAAAACGTTCACGGAGAAATCGGATTTATCAGAGGCAATAGACATGAAAAATGTGTATGCTGATATTTTAGATGCTTATTTTGCAGCAACTCATAAAAAATAAAAGAAATGCTACACATAAAGTAAAGAATAACTATATTATATAACTGTAACTTAAGTCCCTATTGAAGTGGTCCTATTTAGAAAAAAAGCTAGATAGATAGATACATATAGATTCTACCACTGCATCGAGTGTGATACGATATTTATCCACTCGAGACAGTTAAATTTTTAAATTTAAAACGCGAGGCTGGCCGAGCGTTTTAAATATTTAAAATTTAACTGTCGAGAGTGGATAAATATCGTATTACACGAGATTTGGTGGTGGAATCTGTTTCTCTAATGATTTTCAAACAATACGCAGGCAAATTTATTCCTTCTTTTCGAATGATCTGCAAAAAGATGTGTTCTTTCTATGTGACGTCATCAGGCATGGTCGCCTTTTTTCATGCCGTCACAATAGGAAATTCAGAGGAAAGCAAGAAAATTCGACGTCATAATCGGATTTTAACCAATGAAGAACTGAGATCAAACGAACCACACGTTGATTAAATTTTTTTTTATACAATGGGTGCAGAAAGGGATAAATTGACGAAGAATTAGAGAAATATATTTATACAGTGTCAACTATAAGGAACTAGTGTGCATACTTATCATTAAAGGAGATTTTAAACCTGATTAAACTTGAAATGAAGAGAGTATTCCATTCAGATGAAAGCTTGATTTATAAGTATAAAAATGCGCCATAATCCTCATATTGCGTCGAATTTTATTTAATTCGGATTTTAAATCCTATTTTATTACAGTTTATTGAGGTTATTTCTGTTGTATTACAATACAATATAAAGAATGTAACGGTATTTAATTACATCCTATCCACATTGTCATACGATAGTTTAAATTCTGTTTTGGGATGATGTTCTATTTTTTATTATATTGATAATTTTTAATATATTAGATGTCAAGGATTGAATATAATATGGCCATGCACTCTAGGAAATAAATTACGTTATATCATTTTTTAGTCATTTACGTCTTATTTTTTACAAGCAAATTATAAAATAAAAGTAATAATATTTTAACAAATATGAAAATTCACTCATATCTTTACACAGAGTTACTGGGAGACCAGATTCATATAGGGACTTCCCGTCCCAGTTTTCTAACGAGTTTTATCGCTTTTTGTAGGCTTAAAAAGTGTGAATGCTTCATATCATTCTAAAATTCTGCGTTGATAAATTTAAAAATCATTGAGAAAATAATGTTCCAACTCTCTCAGGCAAAGTTGACCTCAGGTGGAATTGGCTTTTCTTTTGAGATCCATTTTAATCGTATAGAATTATTTGTTTTTCTAAGCGCTTCGGACTCACTAAATTTATAGGATGCTTTTCATTTTTGAATTGAGCAAATATTTGGTATGTTCGGGTTTATTTGTGTTTAGAGATATAGATACAAGGAGATGTATGATGGCCAATGAGCCAACTAACCACTAAAATGTACAATGATACAAACAACTACAAGTCACAGTACGACCTTAAATAATGAGCAAAAACAATTACCGTATATAATAAACTATAAAAGACCCTGGATAACAAAATGTGAAATAGTACGACAACAAAAACTAAAGTTCTGATTAAAGCTAAGAGTATTAATCGAAAAACAATTATGACAGACCACAACGAACAACTAATCGATCAAATGTTTCTGGCTTGGGACACGCACATAAAGAATGTGTCGAGGTTTAACATGTCTGTGAAGTCTCAACCGTCGTCCTAACCTTTGACAAAGGTGTAAACAACACAACATTAGAACAAGCATAAAATGATTTAGAAAAAAAAAAATGAAAACACCACGTTATAAATTCCATGCGTCTGAAGCGCTTTTCTGGATTTACCTTCATCAGGAACGCTCAAAGTTTAATTTGAAAGCCAAGGATGTATAAGAGCCGAAACAGTTGAAGAGCTATATAATAAAAAAGGACCTAAATTAATAGCCAAATCCTTCTAAGGCAAACTTTGCCTGAGGGAGCTGAAACCTTAGTTTCTTAATAATTTCAAAATTCATAAAACGGACAAATTTAGAAAGGTGTGTTTCAAATCATGTCAGTACCGAAATACTGACTACTGAGCTGATGATACCCTCGGGGACTGATAGTCCACCAGCAGCAGTTGAAGAGCTATATAATAAAAAGGACCTAAATTAATAGCCAAATCCTTCTAAGGCCAACTTTGCCTGAGAAAGGGCTTGACTCACCAGATCGATATTTAGCACCCACAAAAAAAACCCAAAACAAAGTGACAAAAGACAAATTATTGACCTTAGAGTACTCACAGTTACAGAAAACTAGTTCAAAGATAATAAGTTTATCCAAGGTACATAAATTCCAGATGGATTGCATCTCAATTAACTAGCTGCATAAACAACGTCGCCATAAAAATTAAATGAGCATAATTAATGTTGAACGAGAAACATCTCTTGTAAATTAAAGTATTATAGAATTCCTCTTGAGAAACTGAAATGTGTCATTCAACTGCAATGTGTAATAAATGTGTGCTATTAAAGGGGTCATGGGAATAATTATAACCTGTTGATAAACTTTATTGCCGAAACGTACATGAATGTTGTCAAAGAGAAAAACAACAGCTTTTATCTTCTCATGACAGTTCTATTATCTTATATATTTATATTTCCAAAGAAGGCTTTGTATGGGTTATAGCAAATGTATTTCAGATGTTTCGAAAGGTAATTTGATTCTATTAGAAAACTTCTGTTAGATAATATTGAGAAGAGGTGTTTCGTGGAGAGAAACAAGTAAAATATCAAAGGGGCACATATGTGCCATGGGAATACATGCAACCTACTGCTAAAATGTTATCAAGGAGAAAAGTGAAAGTCCTTTGTTTTCGTGAAAAATATAAAATTTGATCAAACATGAACATTAACTTAAAGCGAAATTGTCGCGTTACGGAATTTAGACAGGAAAGAGGTTTTATGGCTTGTTTTACAAGATAGGATTCAATTTTCAATATAAACATTAGAAGATGTGGTTTGATTGCCAAAGAGATAACTATCCACCAGAGACCAAAGACCAAGTATGGGAATTTAATTCATTTTAAATGTTTTCAAGTGTTTACCAAAATCTCTAAATTTGCACATGATTGTCACTTATCACAAGTGAGAAGAAACCAAGGGTGTTATAAAAAACATAATTGAAATAACCATTGCCAAAAAAGACACGACAGTTCACAAAAACTACACAGGAAACTGAAGACTGAACAACACGAACCTCAACAAAAACTGGCATTAACTGGGAATTGGAAGTTGTTCCTTCTCCACCAGTAGCACCTGTCGTGCAACTAATAGCAAGTAACAAAAATCGAATACAAGTAGGTTCCAATAAAGGAAAAGAAGACGGAATTGTGGCTACGACAACTGGAAGATGATAGTCATATGTGACACAGCTATGCGGTAACAGTCAAAATTTTAATGATGATGCTGTCCACAAAACAGTCCAAAGGATGACTTCAACCTTACCACGTTTAGGATTCAAAGTTTCAACTTTAAAGACATCTTTGTCTCGCCTATGACGAAAGTTGCAGAATAGGAGTCATAAGGATGCCAATTTGACGGGGTAAAATCGGCGTAAACAATTTGTACTCATCTTGATATTTAAGAAGGTAAAAGACTTGGATGCATACTAAAGTGTATACAGATGTACAGATGTTATGAAGTTTTTGACTGTCATATGTCCATTGCCTTCGTTTCATGTTCATAGTTGGCGACTGCTTAAACAGCTACAATTCTTATATGATTTGCATATTAGGGAATACGTTTATATGATTGGTCGAGAGGGCTTCCGGTAGTGGCTCTAAAAGTTATTAATTTTGGATAAACGACGTTGACGGAACTATTTGTTTCCAATGTAAACAAGATGGCGGCGATAATAACACTTTATATTTATTTTCACTTCGCTTTCATCGTTGAATTAAATAATAAACACAAAACATTCATTTGAATGATAAAAAGATGTTTTTGTAGTTTATATTTTATGAGATAGCAAATTTCATGGAGTTCATTTTGTTGCGCTAACCAAAAATATATTCATGCGCCAGGGCAATTCAGTGACACAAATATACAATTTACGTGTGATAGAGATTACGAGTGGGGAAATTAAATTCCTTATCTCCAATTTTAAAGAATTATAAGAGTAAAACGCATTTTTAAAGGAATTTATTGGTGTATAAACTGGACAAAGTCACTCACAAACATCATAAAAGTCCTTCGGACTTTTATTTGTATGTGAGTGAATTTGTCTAGTTTATACACCAATAAATTTCTTTAAAAAGACGTTTAATCCTATAATAGTATTTTGTCACGTAAATTGTTCACTTATTATGAAAAATACAAAAACTATATTTAGTATATTGGTCCTCAAAGAAAGGGTTCATTTGACAATGACCTCACGATTACGTTTTCGTGGTCGATCCGTATTTTTAAAAGATTCTATAAGTAATTGGTCAACTATATTTGTTGTACACAATGATTGTAAGGTATACGTGTATTTTGAATATTATTGTATAAATATTTTTCGAAAGTGAATTGTCAAAAAAAAACATTTCTGTAATGTAAATAGACGTGTTACGAAAAGGTATATACTCGACGCTGAGGTTGACAAATTAGACTTTAAATGTGGGGACTGTGTCAAAACATTGATTAACGATTAAAACAGGTGAAATTCAATTTGCGTGATATTAACCAGGTATCCTACACACTTCTTTCGTTCATTTGAAATTATATTAATTTAGAAAGATTATTTTCTGATACCATTGCTTATGACTATAGGACGGGAAAGGTGTACGTGTGTACGGGGGAGGGGGTTGATGGTAATTCAAGTATGCACTTCTAGATTTGAAAAAAATCACATAATAAGCCAGTTTGATTTTTTTATATTAATTACTGTTCTTCAAGCATAATTATCAATCTGACCCTCTACTACTTAATCTCGTTCTGAAAATGAATGAAATATTTGTCAGTGGACGAACAACAAACAACAATCAATCGTTCTCTACTAAACCCGCACAAAGCTCTAAAGTCTGGTCGGGTTGATTTTGAGTTTGAAAGTTTTTAGCGGCTAGTAGCGTGTTCAACATATACCCGAAATCCCGAACGATAATCGCAAGTTCACTTTTTACATTATATTCTTTCTGTTCTTGGTCTACATGTAGCTCTAAGTTTACGACGCCTATAGAGGGTAACGAGTGGAGAACAACATGCGGTATATTTTATTACCTAAAACGACAAAATCCTGTGGGAAATCTAATTCCATACCTGGTCAATTGAAGGCAGTAAATTAAACTGTTGAGCATCATCCTGTTGTCCTATGAAACTACTGGTTGTGAATTTTACAAAAACAATGTACATGATTCCTATTTATTGTCCACAAAAACATGCGTATGTATGCAATGCCGGTATCTGGAATAAAACTGTGCCCGAGGTTCCGTGTGTGGTCTGTAACTGGCATGACAATTGCTGTTAATTGGCCCTAACGCTGCGGGCATTTTATGCCACCAGCCACGTAGTTGTCGCAATTATTCTACGGTCGACTAAAAGGTATTTATATTTGTATCTAATAGATATAAGAAGATGTGGTATGAGTGATAATGAGACAACTCTCCATCCAAGTCAAAATTTATAAAAGTAAACCATTATAGGTCACAGTACGGTCTTCAACACGGAGCCTTGGCTCACACCGAACAGTAAGCTATAAAGGGCCCCAAAAAAATTACTAGTGTAAAACCATTCAAACGGGAAAACCAACGGTCTAATCTATATAAAAAACGAGAAATGAGAAACACTTATGAACCACATCAACAAACGACAACTACTGAACATCAGATTCCTGACTTAGGACAGGTGCAAACAAATGCAGCGGGTTTAAACGTTTTAATGGTACCAAACCTTCACCCTTTTTTCTGAAACAGTAGTGTAACATCACAACATAGAAAGACACACTATAAAAT